GAAACATTCAATGAAACTCTATCTACTATTTGGGCTAATTCCATTAAATTTGTCCTATTGAATGTCTCTCTGAACTGCACATAGTCAAGCTTGTATTGGATCAAGAAAAGATAAGTCAATTTATTTGAAAACGTAGCTCATTGATCCCGTGTCAATTGAGGCATGTGTTTCATCTCCTCTTGGCGGTTTCAAAATTGTGTCCTCAATACCACAATGTCTGAGTAGATGGTGTGCATAAAGATCCAATATTTTGTTCACTCCAAATAATTAGTACGATATTTTGTTGGTTTTTGAAGTATTAATCGAAATATATACCCTCTTAGTATTTACGGATTTTGCAAATTAGGAGAAGGACACTTCGGTAAATGTAGCAAGTTCTATTAGTGGATGATATGGACAAATAGGCAGTCACTAAGTTAAGCGGTGGAGATATTTACATTGCTTATCGGAATCATTTAGGTTCGCATTTTCTTTCAAATGATCCACCACAACTATTAACACGTTTGCGGAAAATTCCACTTGATAGATAAAAATAATTACTCCACCAACCGATTGTCAGTTCTAAATTCTTAAACACGTTTAATTTCTTCTAATAAACGATTTAAACGCTCCATAGGTAAACGTCTCTAGTTGGATTTTCCCTTGAGACGTTGATTAAAAACAGATTCTTTTGAGTATGTGTGCATAATCTTGAGTGCTGTATATGAAACGTGGCATTTAAGAGCCCAATATGTACTTCAACCGATCTTGTCTGTCTGTTTGCTGCAAACATTCAAAAGTGGAGTAAAATGTGCTCGAAACATCTAGCCTTAATAAACACATTAGAAGCGTCTTTTTCTGAGTGACAGATAAATAACTTATGCCTTCGTGCGAGAAATCACCCTAAAACACTTGGAAAGACAGTAATGAAATACCGTTGACCATTAGATAGAACATTAGGGAAAGTTTGTCTTCCTCGTAGTTTTTTGTTATTTTGCACCGCCACAGGATATAAAATACCTGGAGTATGTGCCTATTCTGAAGCTTTCGTTCTTAATAATACCCTTAGCAGTTTTGATAGCTAGTTCAGAAATATTATTTACTAAATTACGAAATCAATGAGAGAGGATGGTCATGTACTACTCAATTTTGCCTAATTAATAACAACCCTTGTGCTTTAAGATATGCTGACAGTACTATTACAGCATTTGGGACAATGCTTAAAGTATAGAAAATGAAGTTATAAATGCGAGGTCATGGTACCTTTTGAATGACCAGTGAAGACCTGATCATAATTCGCAATGAATATAGTATTCCCATAAATGGACAAATATTTTATATGGCCTCAACAACAAGTGCGTCAGAGTGTCTTCTCAGCTTTTTCGGCCATCTCACTATTTCTGTCGTTTAGCTTTTATATTCAACATAACAATGTATACTATAATGTGAAACCTAAATTAATTACAAATTGGAAGATTTCTTGGGTGTCCTTCGCGTCAAATCGTTGCTCAATAAAGGATTAAATTGGGAAAAGCGCCGACGTGATAAATTTAACTCCTTTCCCATATTTATATCCTCGAAATCATGTCAAGTTGAAATACAAGGAGAAAGTTCATTTCTTTATCTATATCTTGGTATTCTGTGCCCCATCTCGAATGTACACAGATGATTTTCTTTTAGTTAGGGAAATGTAATTAATAATGATTATGACACCAGATCAGTAAAAATATTCTTATTAAAACATACATTTGTCATTAAAATGTAATTTTTAAAAGAATATTCTCGCTAACTACGCAACAGACATTTGTGCCTAATTCAAATCCTACCTCAATGTGTTTTAATTAGAATTTAGGCGTCTGAGAAGGCAATTTGCTTTTTATGCGCAATTAGTTATACCGCTATTTGTCACGTGTACATGGGAATTGCCATAATTTGTGGTTAGTGAGATCTGTGAATATGTGACTCTAAGCCTAATTAAGAAGGGAGGGGGTTAAATACAAATTTAAATTGCTAAGTGCAAGGTGGTAGAGAACAGTTGGCAGTGAGCAAATTAAGATAATTCAACAAAAATCTACACCAGTAATATCGGTTTTTGCGACCATGGTGTCTTATCACAGACCAATTAGAGTAGATTGAGAGAATACACGTCTTTTCTATCTTTTCTCCATTATATTATAATGATGTGGATTGACAACCGGGCATAGGTGGTCATTTACGTTCTTGTCATCGTTCCATAAAGCGAGTTTTTCGCGTATTCAAGCCCTGACACTACAGGCATCTCCTAAGATATCAAGAGGATGAAAATGCCGTAACTGTACTTGAAATACTCTCCCCTGAGTAAGTTGTAGACACTGTATTTGCTATCAAATGTATGGACTTGAACAAAATTATAGAATATTTTTTTATCAGAACCATGACCCTAGACATGCTTCCGTAAATTGTATATGGCTCATCATATGGTTGTACACTCAGGTTGGAAACCATGAGGGCAACTCACATGTGACCTTCAAGTTTACTCTGTATAAAAATCAGTTCACCATAGTAGAAAATCATTATAGCATGCTCAATGGTAAAGATTTTTCATTTCGCGTACTTAGGGAGGATTAGCTAGTCCACTTAGAATAGGAATTGCTTTTAAAAGCATAAATATATAGAACTTTACTACTGACGTAGTGATTAGTGTACTCAATATCGAGTATCGTGAAAGGCAACCATAAATAATCATTGTGATCAATATTATTGTAAATATATACATAACCTGACAATATCCTCATCAGAATCTGCAAACGTGCAAAGATGAAACCGGCCAAATAATCATTCGTTTTGTTTCTAAGATTCTAAATGTGTTCTTTTATAAAATCATCTAAAAAATGCAAGGCCACTCAACTAAATGGGGATAAAGTGTCTCATTGAATACAACCATTAACAACTTAACCTTGAACAATGGCGTTAAAATCCAGAGTTCTCCCTCTAATGAGCAAATATAGAAGGTAATATGGCCTTGGGGAATTTAAATGTGGTTTTGTCAGTAATTATTTGGCACTTCCGACATGTTTCCTTAGGCCCTTTTGAATCATTCTAGAAATCTCTTAATTAAATACCCATAGCTTTATAAAATATAGAACTAATGTTTCCGTCAATATGTATTTAAGAAATGGTAATGATATTGATATTCTTTTGATGTATGTGTGCATGAATATCATTAAAAACAAGCACAATTCAACTTGATCCCCATTACATAAAGTTCAAATCGATCATTAGTTTTAGGAGATAATTTTTATGCATATCCTTAGGTGCTCCCTTTTCGAACCCTGTCTTGTTAGAGTAAGAAAAGACTCATTTGTTTATACCAACGGCCTTGAATTCTATCCGCGATTTTCGTTTGATCAGCAAGCACGTCTGCCTCCATCTACAATCAGACAGATTTGAACTGGGCGAAATAAAGAAATTATAAATAAAAGCAATTTCTCGCTCCTGGAAAAAATATCCACTACAATTTTTACCCACTTTCATTAAGAGCTAAGCTGTAAAAGAACGCCCTGGGACTTCTAAGCAGTGAGTTTTTAGAGCATGAACGGCCTAATCAAAGATGGACCTATGCGAAATTCGATCTTAAAGCAGAAGCCTAAGTTTAAACTTTTCCTCGTCTCAGTCATTAATTCCAGTCTAGATTGTATTTATTCAATAATCTTCTGTGATAAGAACAAAAATGGTTAAAAACATGGAAATACATATACAATAATTTTATTATAAACTAAATGCTAACTTGCCACCGTGAATTTAAGCACTTCTTAATTGTTTGAAGTCGCATTTTCATCGTAATATATCACATTTTTTGCACATGCATCAGTGAATTTCAATGTTGATTATTCAAACTTTTATACTGGATCTTATATTGAGTAAAATTTTCCGATTTCTCCAGCCACGCCCCACCACCGGATCAAGATTTCATTGAGGCGGAATCATAATGAAAAAGAAATGCATTGCAAGAATAGTAGCACATTTGAAAAAAAAATTCAAATAAACACCATGTCTTTCGCTAGAATGCAAAACTAACACTATGATTATTATAAATTGAAAGAAATTACTAAGGGGTAAATTGGCAATATAATGTAATATTTGTTGCAAGAAACTCATTACAATAAGAAAAGATTTATAATTGGCAAATCATCATATCGTCTGAAAAAATTCCAAAAGATCCTAGTAATTCACTCTAGAATTTTGAACAAAGCTACATGGAATCCTGTGAGAACATTTAAATTCATCATCCTGTGAATCATCCTGAATATATTATCGCCCCATCAAAACATTAAGCTGGAAATGTTAAAATGACTACTTGTACAACTAGGCTTCATAAAATAAGACGTGGCCAACCATGAATAATTAATTTTTCATTGGCAAAATAATAAGCGAAGTTACATAAGTTAACTCGGATGAAATTTTTTTGAAAGGTCAATTAAATTGCAAGGCTATCGATTAGAAAAAAAGATGCTAATGGGTTTAAAGAAAAATGCCATTTGTATAAAGTTAGTTTTGGAATTGTGCAATGCTATAGTTATAACTTTGAATTCATATGCAAAATATAGTGAGAAGATATAATAAAATTAATTAATGAACCAAGTTTATAAGATTTTAAAGCAAATATGTGCTTTAATTCCAGAGGAATGTGCATCTTTCAAATGGAACTAAACGTAGTTTCTTTCTAATAACGAAAAGCAAAGACGCCAGAAAATAATAACATTTTGAGGTTAATAAAGGCTATTATTATTCTAATTTCGAAAAAAATATATATGTCATCTAGATTAACAATTAACATAGTGTTATTACAAGAAAATAGTCACTGAAATTTGCCTTAACTGTTTTTAAAATTTTACAAAAATATATGTTTACTGAAAATTATTTTTGATTTAAATTCATTTTGTTTTTTATTTTAGTTTGTTTCAATTAATCTAATTGGATTGGCCTGAATAATTTGGCGGCTTTACAGTTGTTTGTCTCTTGCTGTCCTTGTGCTTGGCGTAATGGCATTGTTTGATTTCAACGTATTACAGTTCATCGGCAAAGGATGTTACTCTATGGTATATGAAGTATCGCCGAAAAATGATCAGGAAAATTCGTCGATATATGCATTCAAACGAATTTTCATACAGGAACCTAATGCAGTTGAGTGTGCCAAACGGGAGCGGAACATTCTCGTGCGTCTTGCTGAAGACACAAATTCTTCTCCTTTTATACCCACTCTCTATTACTCGTATATTTTGAAAAATTCTCCTGTCCTTATTCTCCATCGTGGAAGCGGCTGGGATTTATTTCAACTATTAACTAGGCAAAGGCTACTAAGTGAACATGATTCTCGATTCTACGCCTCTGAGATTGTCTGTGGTTTGGAGTATCTTCATTCCATGCAAATTGTACATTTAGATCTCAAGCCTGAGAACATTCTCTTGGATAAGAGTGGTCATCTTATCATTTCGGATTTCGATCGTTCGTTTGATCTTTCTCTTGACCAAATTCCTAAACCTAGTGACTTCGGTGGTACCCTTTCTTTCATGGCCCCGGAAATCGCCAAGCAAGAGTTGCTATCTACTAAGGCTGATATTTGGAGTCTTGCCGCCCTTATAGCTGAGATGGTATCGGGTCCAATTCGTCCTCTTTCCCGAAATGATGAACAAAGTCGAAAGTTGGCAAGGCAAAATCAGTTCAAGATTGTAAATTTGCATAAGCTCTCTAAAAATCTTCAATCTCTATTTAATACATGTTTAACGCCGAATCCCAATGCACGGCCGGATATTGCTGGTGTGAAGAAGTTGAGGTTTTTCAAATTCGTCGATTGGGATAAGGTTATCAGTTCTTCCCTTCAACCGCCATTCGATCCTTCCACGTTTGGTTCTTCTCCGAGTATTTCTGATTGGGGTGTCGATCCTTTTAATCAAATTCTTTTGGATGCTGCCTTTGATGAGCATATGCCCCTAATTCGGAGCAAGTTGGAACTTGACCATTCCAGACCGTCAGGTGGCATTCGTTGTGTTCCAGTCAAACCTAACTACGAAAAACTTAAAAAAGCAGGGATTAATATTGAGCTTATTCAGGATTACCTTGGTGATTTCAACTTCGTCCATCCCTCTCTTCGAAAACCTGATTCTGAAGTCCCTGAAACTTTTGAAAATAAAGAAGTTGGCGAAGTGCCTACATCGCTTGATGTTTCCCAGATGTCAGTTGAATTGGAACTTGTTCGTGAAAGGCATTTTTCTCGTGATTGACTGCACTGGCATCTGTCTTCTCACTATCGGAACCTATTTAGGATTTTAACACATCATGTAGCTTTCTGTGATTTATTTTTGAAGACTGTTGTACGTAGGTATCATTTTATAGATGCATTGTTTGCCAAACGCCTTATTTTTTAATTTGGTACTTGATAGTGAGTGTGGATATAGTAATATTGCTGGCTAAGTATTAGTTTTTTACGGCTGGTTGTGTGGGTTATTGTGTTGGTTGGCGAGCAGTGTTGAACTCGTTACTATTTCAAATATTTTCGCTGTGAATGTTCGATTAAAGGAAAGGTAGATTTCTGACTGATTTATCGGAATATCTATTGCGTGTGTATTATCGTCATATTGAAGATCTGAGTTCACTATTTAAGCCTGACTACATTAATCGGATTCATGCTGGTCAGGTTTGATGCAATTGGATGGGGGGGGGGGGTTGCTATTAGTTTCTCTATGTTTGCTGAGATGGGTTTGTCTTAGCCTACTTGGTAATGGTTGATCATTGAAAATGGGACCTCATTAGAGTTCTTTTCTAAAAATATGTGACTATCTGAATGAATTTTGCCTCCCGGTTTGCGCTCGCGTACGCCGTTTGTGTCTTGCAAGTTCGCTGTATTTACGCCACTGCATGCTATTTTGGCTCACGGCCAGATTGCCCTAAACATAGTCAGCTGCCAAGATGTCCGTTGAATAATGTTTCCATTTACCATATTCTTAAATTGACTCAACAATTTGGTGCTGTAATATTGCATCTTTCTCATTGTTAAGGTCTATTTACAGTTGGCAATGATTTTATTTGTGGCATAAGTAAGGTTGAAGGTTAACTTGGACGTCTCTGAAGTCAGCTATTACGGCCTTGATGCTCCTCAGTGAGCTGAGGTGTTGACAGCACTGGTTAAGTTGAATTAATACAGAGATTGCTGGAATTTGACGTTTCACACCAGGAGGAGCCAACAATACTGAACTTTTACTCCAGCCGAATTTTGGTAAATGTTTCCTTAAATTGACTTGTTAGTGATATATGAGTGATAATCGCTTGCAGTCGGCCTCGGGTAACATCCATCCGGTTGACATCTCCAATTTGTTCAAATTATTTTCAAATGAAATATACCCTGTAAATAAGTTAGCTGCTATATTTATTTATTTCAAATGACAGGCGTTTTGATAGTTATCATTAGCCCTTTAGCTGACTTCGGGCTTCACAGGGGGAAGGAACATCAAAGTAACAGAAAGTCGAGGGGTGGGGAACAGAAGAGTGATTTATAGATGTAAAGAGACAGACATGAAGGCAGAGAAAAGGTAGGATGAGGACTGCGCCAGAAGTCAATCGCCAGTTAATAGACTTTTTTGCCGTATGCGTGTACGTTGCCCAGGATGCACCACGTGGAGGTAAGTCTATCACGCACCCCAGTTAGTTGCTATATCAAATGTATATTTTCACTCCTTTTGAAGCACTTTAAGTTAACTTGTTCCCTAATTATGTCTTTTTATTATCTAATCTTACACAGTCTGTTTCTGGCTTGCTGTAGCATATAAGAAGTTAAGTGCGTGAAATCAGTACGTATATTGAATTAGCTCTATTCTGTTAGGCTGAAGTAAGAGCCTTATTAGGTAAAAATAAGCAAATGAGTCAGCACTGCTAGGCTGTGTTATGGCACACACTTGGCTACAGGAAGGTGAATTACTCTATTTCCCACTAGTTTGAGCTATTTTTTAGATGTAAAATTATTTTGATCCAAGTAATACTTGTTAGTGTACGATCCGACGATATTTTTGAGTGGGGGCATAGAAAGTGATCTTTCAGGTGGAAAAGTTCGCAGTCATCTTTAAAGTAACCCAAATTTTTATTAACTTTGTTTTTCTATTTGGGCACTAGTCGAACTTTCATTCATATCCACATTATAGGCTCACCGGATAGCATATGAGATCTACTCCTTTTTTTCCTGTAATTCGCTGTAATCAAAAAATTTTTTTCGACTGTTTGTTCTTATCAATCTCTGGCTTATTATGAAAAGAGATTTCTTAAGAGTCTAGGGCCTGGAGACTTAAGACTGACTAAATTGTCACATTTCTAATTCTACAATGAGATTGGGAGAACTCAAGTGAACCTTATGGTAAAATTTATATTTATTTATATCCAATGGCAGGCGTCTTGATGGTTATCATTAGCCCTTTAGTTGACTTCAGACTTCACAGAGGGGAAGGAACATCAAATTGAAAAAAAATTCGAGAGGGGGGGGGGGACAGAAGAGTTTTTCAAAGATGTAAGAGACAAACACAAAGGTAGAAAAAAGGTGAGGTGAGTACTGTGAAAGTGGTCGAATATGACATACAGCGGGGTCATGGTAGTTTGAAGCGAGAAGTCAACTGCCAGTTATTAGACTTTTTTGCCTTACGTTGACCAGGGCGCACCCCGGGGAGGTAAGTCTATCGCGCACCCCATGGTAAAATTTATAAACCAATGAAAGTGAAATTAGGGAAGGTGGGGTGGGAGAGGGGTTAAAGAAGTAGGTTACTAAACAATCCGTGCATAATGGAAGAGATTATGTTATGCGCATATTGGAAGGTACCGAGTAGTTTGAGAGATTTAAACGCTTCAACTTAAATCCTCTAAATTAAGCCATGTTAATACCACTCCACTGCCTTGCCATTGATTATTTCAAACTGTAAAGGTAGTCATTAGATTAATTCCAAGTTAATAAAGAACCGAGGTGTACGGCAATGGTTTCAAATGTTAAATACGGTATTTCACTTCGTGCTGAAACAAATATTACTTCCCTATCCATAAAATTTGAATGCGTCTCGATTTCAGGTCACTTTTCAGATCTGTTATGGCCTGAATTTTGACTAATCTTTCAATAGGCTCTTTGTGCACATTTGCTTTAGTTTATGGAATCTTTTCCACATTATATGACTTTAATCGATTAGTTGGTGGCAAAATAATGCTTCTCAATCAAATAGACTTCAATTGTATCAACCACCCATATACTGAACATGGAATTCCATTAGAAATTAATTTATTAATCATTTGTCATAGCATTGAATGATATTGCTAAAAGTGATTTTGTTTATAAATATTCAAACATAGCTACCGTCTATCTGTCCTCCATAAACCGTTGCGCATAAACTTAGCCTTTTCTAAAATTTACACTGAAATTTGAGGTGAATGTAATGTCACAATTAGGTCGTTAATTAATAGGCAGTTAACTATTAAAGATCTCTATCGAGTGACCTCAGAATAAACTGTGGTAATCTCAGTTTTCAAGGCCATGGTGTTTAAATTGGTGTCTATGACGCCATGGACACTGTTAGCAAGTGAGCCCTCTTCATGATTTACAGTCAATATATTTAAAAAAGAGGCTATTTTTTGCCTAGATGCCTTTGAAATGAACATCAACTCTTGTAAAAAGAGGACTTCATTATTTCTTTACGTACAGTTCGGATACTTTGTCTTCACATTCAGGTTTAAAGAATACGGAACACTATACCTTAGCAATGATCATAGACATATTAACTGTGATTTTTTATCATCGGCCCCACTCCCTGCGGGTTTAAGTATTTACGATAGTTATCTGTGTACACATGACGTACTTTGTAAATCGTGACACGTTTTTTGACTTCCAGGTTTCGGATTCCGTAAAACACATGTTTTCTTTCTACTGACAGAAAATCATCATGCATCAGTCCGAGGTTATTTCTCTCTTTTTTGGAAAAATGCGAGTTACACGATTTAGAAGATAGTGATTTTGCGTATTTTGAAAATTGGTCATATTCGCCATAATGAAGTTCAATATGTACTTTTTGTTTATTGATACGCTTGAAAAGTGCATGGAGGTTGGGTGTAAACTAAAGCCTTTCCTAATGGAGATAGATGGACATAAAATCTTTTATGCGTTATACTATGTGTTATAAATTAAGTAAGATGAAAATTACTCAAGAGTATAGATAATGTTTAAAAAATTTGCGCTGCAGTAGTTTAAACTGTGCGGATAAACAGGACATGTGCGTAATTATGCACATTCGCCAATGGCAGTGAGAGGGTAACTCGTTATCGTTAGAACTAAAATCGATATTCGTTCACTTGTGCACCATTGGGACAATTAATGGCAATAAAGACGAATTATCGAGCAATACCACTTTGTGTTCAGTTCTTATCACACTTAGCTTTTAGATGCTTAATTTAATCACTGGCAGAGCTAACCTTTTATCGAATTTGTAGCATAAATAGAATGAGATAAATTGGAAAGCGCTTTTATTTCTCTATCGTAATCAGTTCATTCTACCTAAGTAGAAGTTGAAAATGTCCTATTAAGATTTCTCATCACCCTGTAGGCTTATATCGATTAAAAGTGAGATTTGAAACCTAGTTGATGATAATGTCAGTCTTGGTTATTAAATTTCCTAATGTACTTTTACAAGTATGCATTTCAATGGTCTGTTTAGATTTTTCGCAAGCAGAATAAGTCCATACCTTTAGATTTTGATTTGTTTGTGATCAGCTTTATGAAATTAAAACATTTAATAAGCGGCTTTAATAAAACTCTTTAAGCAAAACGGTCTGACATAATATCATACGATAATGTAAATGGATACCTTTTTATATTTTAAAATTATTACTTTCCAAACTTGCACTGTTAATTTAAGTGAATTAATTGGTCTACAGCAATTAACCCACACCGTTATTTAATCTGTTAGTAAATTATTTGGCCCGTACTAGAAAGGTCTCTCGTAATCTATGTATTGGTCACTTTCTATCCTATCTCCTGTCTTAATCTCAGCAGATGGCATTACATTAATATATTTACTGAATTTCCCTTCAGACGCATTATTACTGGCAAATTAGTAATCACTTTCTTATTTACTTCAAAATTGCGTTTTTTTCCAAAATATGGATCGAGATAGACAAAGCAAGCCAAAAATCGGTCCAGGTCGTCACCATTTTGCCAAAATTGCATGAATCACCACACCAACCCCCCCCCCCCCCCCCCCTCCCCCCAACTGGGTCTCTATCTCATTGACGTGCCTACTAATGCGCGTGCCCAACAAGTGTGCAATCTTGTCAACTGGACAAGGAAAATTATAAATAACAAGCATTTATAAACCAAAGATCGATTTTTTCTGCGGATTTCAGCACACCTGCTGTTGTAACAACAAGTAGCGTAACGTAGGAAATCAAGAAAGGAACAAAATACCACTCCACTCAACCTGAAATATGGTGATAAGCGCACACTGATTTTTCACGTACAGTTGTATTCTTCTGGTCTTAAAATCTACGCATAGAAGGATTTACATCCGAAGGGCTACGTCAAAAGTAACCAAGTTGAGTTTCAATGCAAATTACCAAAATGGTTAATGAATTATTTAAAGATAGCGGTTTATTAACATCCGATATTTAAGATTTCAAAATGTGTCATGTTATAGGCTTGTTTTTGGAATTCGCAATAGAGTTTTTCAAGCGCAACATTGGGAATGAAACATTACAAAAATACTTTTTCTGATCGGTGAAAAGGCTGCTAAGACCTTGGATCCAAAACTTTGGGTCACGGGTTCTGTAACGAAGTTCCGAGCGGTTTAAGGTAGTATTCAGGAGTAATTTTCCTTAAATAAAAATTGAAATTAATTCTCCCTTTCTGAAAGCTATCTCATGTCCATTTTTTATTTAAAAGGAGATAAATGACAAAATTACTGAAGGCCACTTTTAATCACTCGGCGTAATGCTAAAAGCCAAGGGAATTATGGAGTTGGAGTGGGGCATGAGTGCATTATTTTGAATTATGTGATTGGTTATGCGGCGTTGATTGGGTAATAGGCCATTCGCTCTATTCTCGCTCAAAATGCGTGGGTGTGAAGTGGATGATGATTGCACCTCAGGATTATTAGTAGAGAACATAATTCTTTCATTTTATACCATACACATAGGACTATGAGCTGCTTATCGATTCCCCCCCCCCCAGTTATCTTCAACTGAACAATTTGTTTCCAATTTCGTAACTATAAACCAAGTATTAAAAGCAAATATGCATTTTAAAATTAAAAAATATGCACAAATATGTAAAATACATGCGAAAATCAAATTGCTGTGTTTAAAAGGCTACGAACTCAGGTCCGTTGATGAATAGCATTGTCGTTAGCTAGATATGAAGCTAAATCACGGAACTTCAATTTGGCGAGCGCAGTGGCTTAAGAGGCTATACACTCAAGAAAGTGTTCAGGCCACTTGAGTTGGCACACAGCCAAGGCAAAAAGCTTAGTGTACTGCATTCCATCTTAAAATGGGACGGTTCTGCATTGTGCCAAGTTCTTAATTAAGTTAATGCGTAAAATTCGGAGGAGATTTTAAAGAAAATGGCGATGCCAGAGGGCTTCGTAATTAAATCAAACTAAACCACATTCTGCATATTGAGATGTCTCAAAGTTTTAGTGGAACATTATTATTACCTCTCTTTAGATCTACCCCCAAAGTCTCTTCTACTTGCTTTACTAAATTCTATACAAATGAGACTGTTAAACCTAAACCACTGACTTCCCTTGACTTATTAATTAGATTTATCTCTCTCAGGCTCATTCCTTCGGTAATGAAAACAAACAAACAGTGCAGGTAAAGCTCTGGTACTCAATAAGCAAGCACTTTATCGTTGTAAGGGGATTAGTTAGCCATCATTCTAATGATCCGTACAGTAAAACCCTACCCATAGTTTAAATGAGTGTAGTAAAATATATTAGCTTAATTTAAAAAATAAGTAATTCTGTCCTTACATCATTGCTTGGTGTGGAATTTCTCTAAAAACCTGTTTGGACGATTATGGACCATCTTTCAATATGATAGCCATCCCTATTCATAGTGGTTTCCCTTAACCTTTCCATTATCATGTGTGTCCTAAGAATGTGTTTTGCTTAAAGTGTACTGGACCTATTTTGAAAGCACACACGCTACACACACACAGAGACTGTAAAAAAAGTGCTAGGCTAATGCTCTTCTTAGAGTTTAAACTTAAATACCTCAATATTGGAGGAGTCAGATAAAAGCTGCAGGCTTGAATAATAGGGAAAGCGGGGGAAGTGGCAATCTTGACAATAGTATGCACCGAAAGTGAAGAAAATCCCAAAATACGGGCAAGAAGAAAACTGTTCCAAATTTGCAGGCAACTGCACGTTATGCTAGTAATTATTCAAAGATGAATAATAAGACCATCAAGATTATTTTCATTAGAAATCATTCCAATTCCCCAGCAAAACGAAGGAAATCAATCTCCTTTTGATAAAGGTAATCAACCAAGATTTGAGAAACGATTAACAATACTTTCGTGCATTCATATGTGCAATTTAAGCACATGAAAGCAATGCCATTCACGTGCACACTCCGCTGAGGATGAAATGTACTTTTGCCAGACTCAGTGATCATTTTTAATGGGGAAATTAATTTTGTTCAAATTTGTTTAAGAATAAAAATTTGTTAAAAAAGGCATATTTTTCCAAAAATTTTTTTTTATTCATCAATATCAAAAGCCAAGCTCTATCATAGTTAGCATTAGCCCTTTGTGTTAACTTCGGGCTTCACAGAGGTTAGGAGCACCGAAGTCACAAAAGTCGAGAGGGTGGAACAAAAGAGTGATTAACAGATGTAAAAGAGAGTCAAGCACAAAGGTGGAGAAAAAGGTATAGAAAGGTGAGTACTGTGGAAGTGGTGGAATATGATATATTATCGGGTCATGGTAGTTTGAAGTCAAAAGTCAACTGCCTATTTATAAACATTTTCCAGTAGGAGAATTCTTTGCTCACGGTGCATCACGTGAAAGTAAGTCTATCGTACACCCACACATCAAATATAGAGTCATTTATTTTGTTAAAGGTAACTGATTAAAAACTCAAGCTAATTAAGATATTTTTAACGCAACAGCTTAATATGTCTGTTTAAACTTCTTGTAGAGAATTCAATATATGTTAGTTAAAGGCCCAATTCGAGGGGTTCAAACGAACCCATAATGCAACTGCCTATATTAAACATGGATTATTAACATATGGTCAGTAAGAAAAAGAGCCTCTGCATAGTGTTGTGTGTATTAATTAATCTGCTTCATCTTTACCTATATAATCATTTATTCTATATTTAAATCTCATTAAATTGTTAGATTTTCATTTTAAAACGATAGCTTTTTAAAGCCGATAATGCGAAGTGCGGTTACATAAATTATGGTATAAGGAAAATGCACTGAAACATTACGTATGAATTTGGACAAGATGCAAGCGAATGCGAATATTCGAGAAGTTCTAACATTGTTTATTTTTTAAAATTTCTAAAACAGATCATTAATTTTTCAGGCATTGGCTTAAATATGATGCTCCCAGCGAGGTTAAAAGATATAAATACCTTATATTTATCATTTGAAAATACTCATAAATATGCTTTTAAACAGCTTTTTATGTTATTTTATCTCGGACTGACGAAAAGACAAAACAGATGTATCTCAATCAGCATGTGATAAAGATTAATATATTCGTAATTAATGAAAATTGACGAGAAAGAGGACGGAAGAGACAAAAGCTGGTAAGATAATGGGAGATTTAGTTGTGTAGACTTTTATAAAGTATAGCATTAAGTATACATTTAATTGAGGATTGTTGGAATTTCATTTGATCATGCCAAAAAATATTCTTAAGCTAAATTTGACAAATAATTAAGAATGTGAATTCTAACTCAATATTTGGACCAAGGTTGAAACATATATACTATAAGATACAAGACTAGTCTGTAATCCACAATTCTGCACCGTTGTTAACAAGTCAAGTTATAGTTAAGTGGCTGTAGTAAAGAATAAAAATATATAAATCGTTAATGCATATTTCGGTTCCATTTAACATATAAAAATTTAGGACGATAAAATATAAATAAATAGAATCTCAATGAAAACTTTATAAAAATTAACAATTTTTATTTAAAATGGAATTTGATATTTTGTTTTAAATTACTCTCAAAATTACACCAGTTGATGGTTAGTCGGCTATTTGCACATTTCCCGCAGTAATGGACGGTCTCTACGTTCCTGAGCGCACGGTTCAGGTTCTTCAATTCGGAATACTTAGTCCTGAGGAAATCGTAAGCATATTGGATTTTAATATGGGTTAATTGCTTACTTGCATACGATGACCTAAAAAATTCTAGTTGATTTTAGTATTAAGGAATCTTGCCAAAATAAATTATTAGCTGTGTTTATATTGAAGTTATTCTTGAATTAAAAATATTTAGGGGGACTATTTATCGACTTTAAAAGGATGCTTCTTATATGGTCGTCTGTTTTACAGAAGCAGATGTCGGTTGCTCCTGACGGAGGTATCAAGTATGCCGAAACCATGGATGGTGATAAACCAAAAATTGGGGGTTTGATGGATCCTCGTCAGGGTTGCGTAGACCGAACCTCTATTTGCCAAACATGCAGTGGAAATTCCACAACTTGTCCAGGACACTTCGCTCACATAGAACTAGCCAAACCCGTGTTTCATATTGGATTTTTGAAGAAAACACTTAAACTTCTTCGTTGTATTTGCTTTTTTTGCTCTAAGAGTCTCGTTGACATACAGAGCGATAAAATTAGAGATATTCAAAACAAGACTAGAAATGATCCGCGTCGTCGTCTTACCCTCATGTATGAGGAATGCAAAGCTCGTAGTACTTGTTTACCACTCGAAGAAGATAACAATGATGATCAGGAGGTAAAGGAAAGTAAGCACAGCCAAACTGGTTGCGGACGAATCCAGCCAAAGTATCGACGAACCGCTCTTGAACTCTCGGCTGAGTGGAAAGCCGTAAATGAGCCCACTCAGGAGAAGAAAATTAATCTCACTGCCGAGCGTGTTTTAGAAGTATTCAGGCGCATATCAGATGAGCATTGCACAGCTCTTGGTTTTAACCCTAAATTTGGTCGTCCTGATTGGATGATTTGCACTATTCTTCCAGTTCCTCCTCTTGCTGTTCGACCTGCCATTGTTATGTTCGGTGCTGCAAGAAATCAAGATGATCTAACGCACAAACTTGCAGATATCATAAAAGCTAATAATTCTTTGCGACGTGATGAGCAAAATGGGGCCGCTGCTCATATTTTGATTGAGGATGTGAGAAATTTGCAATATCATGTTGCCACGCTTATTGATAACGATATTCCTGGTTTGCCAAAGGCTATTCAAAAATCCGGAAGACCTCTTAAGTCCATTAAACAGCGCCTGAAAGGCAAAGCTGGTCGTATTAGAGGCAACTTGATGGGCAAACGTGTTGACTTTTCTGCTCGGACAGTTATTACTGCTGATCCAAATCTTGCCCTTGATCAAGTTGGAGTTCCCCGATCAATTGCTCAGAATCTCACGTTCCCTGAACGCGTCACTCAAGCGAATATTGATTACCTACAAAGATTAGTGAATAATGGTACCATGTATCCAGGAGCCAAGTTTGTTGTTCGAGATAATGGTGATCGTATCGATATTCGATATCATCCACAAATATCAGATTTAACTCTGCAAGTTGGCTATATCGTTGAACGTCATATGTTGAATGACGACTTTGTGGTATTCAATCGTCAACCAACTCTTCATAAAATGTCCATGATGTGCCATCGTGTGCGTGTTTTGCCTTGGTCTACTTTCCGTCTCAACTTGTCTGTCACTTCTCCGTACAACGCAGATTTTGACGGCGACGAAATGAACCTTCATTTGCCTCAATCCGTGGAAACGAAGGCTGAAATCAGCCAATTAGCTCGTGTTCCACGTCTTGTTATTACTCCTCAGGCTAACAAACCTGTTATGAGTATTGTACAGGATACTCTTACAGCTGCTTATAAAATGACTCAGAGGGATGTCTTCCTTGATCGTGCTGATATGATGAATCTCCTAATGTGTCTCCCCACATGGAATGGTCGTTTACCCAAGCCAGCTATTTACAAACCTCAGCGCCTTTGGACTGGTAAACAACTCTTCAGTCTTATTATCCCTCGACGAATAAACTGTTTTCGAACCCATTCTACTCACCCCGAAGACGAAAACAAAGGCCCATATAAATGGATTTCTCCTGGTGATACTAGAGTGATTATTGATGACGGAGATCTGGTCGCCGGTATTCTGTGCAAGAAGACGCTTGGTTCTGCTGCGGGCTCCCTCATCCATTTGGTAGCTTTGGAAAATGACTTCGAAACGGTAGGAATGTTCTTCAACAATATTCAAACTGTTATCAACAATTGGCTACTGATTGAGGGTCATTCGATTGGCATAGCAGACACTCTCTACGATCAAAACACCCGTAGAGAGATTGGTGAAACCATAACCAAAGCTAAGGATGCTGTCTTCGATATTATTGATCAGGCACACAACTATGATTTCCAACCAATCCCAGGTAATACACTGCGTCAGACATTTGAGTCTCATGTCAATAAGATTCTGAATGAGGCCCGCGATAAGACAGGCAGTTGTGCACAGAAGTCCCTTTCAAAGTATAACAATTTCAATACTATGGTTGTTTCTGGTTCAAAGGGCTCCAAAATCAACATCTCACAAGTTATTGCCTGTGTGGGGCAGCAGAACGTGGAGGGTAAACGAATCCCCTTTGGTTTCCGCCATCGAACCCTTCCTCATTTCATCCAAGATGACTACGGTCCTGAGTCTAGGGGTTTTGTAGAGAATTCCTATCTTGCGGGCCTGACTCCAACTGAGTTTTTTTTCCATGCCATGGGTGGTCGTGAAGGTTTGATTGATACTGCTGTCAAAACTGCAGAAACTGGTTACATTCAACGTCGTCTTATCAAAGCTATGGAGTCCGTGATGGTGAAGTACGACGGAACGGTTCGTAATCAAATTAATCAGCTTATTCAATTGCGCTATGGCGAGGACGGTTTAGATGCAGCGCATGTTGAGTTCCAGACATTGCCGACATTCAAACCTTCAGATGAAGAATTTGAACGGGAGTTCCGCTTTGATTTGAATAATGACCGGGTTCTTCGTCGTTGTGTCACAGAAGACCTACTCAGAAACCTTGCAACTGACCAGGATACTCAGGCAGAATTAGATGCTGAATGGGAAGTGCTGTGTAATGATCGTAAAATACTTCGATCCATTATCAAGAAATCCGAGGATCGTGTTGTTTTGCCGTGTAACATCAGTCGTCTTATTCAAAATGCGCAAAAGATATTCGAAATTGATTCCCTCTCAAAAACTAATTTACATCCTCGAGTAGTTGTGGAACAGGTGAGGGACATTTGCAATCGATTAGTTGTTGTGCCTGGAGATGATAAATTGAGTAAAGAGGCCAATTCGAATGCTGTTTTGCTCATGACCTGCTTGATTCGCTCAATGTTGTGTTCTAAGAGAGTGATTCAGAATTATCGGCTATCATATGACGCTTTAGAGTGGGTGCTGGGGGAGATTAAGACTCGCTTTCAACAAGCTCTAGTTCAACCAGGCGAAATGGTAGGTGCTTTGGCCGCTCAATCCCTCGGTGAACCGGCTACACAAATGACTTTGAATACCTTCCACTACGCTGGTGTGTCTGCAAAGAACGTCACTCTCGGTGTGCCTAGATTAAAGGAAATAATTAACGTTAGTAAACGTCCTAAAACTCCTTCAATGACAGTTCACCTAATTGGCCAGGCAGCCCGTGACGCAGAACATGCTAAAGATGTGGTAGCCCGCTTGGAACATACAACTCTACGCAAGTTGGTGAAATTAACATCGATCTACTATGACCCAGATCCGAAGAATACAGTTGTGAAAGAAGACCGTGGCTGGGTTTCCACCTATTATGAACTCCCTGACTTTAATTTGGACTTTATCAGTTCCTGGGTGCTTCGAATAGTTTTTGCCCGTAAGCAAATGACCGGCAAGAAGTTGACCCTAGAACAAATTGCGGATACGATTACCACCTCATTTGGTAATGACCTTATTTGTCACATTCCTGATGATAATTTGAAGCTGGTTATGCGCATTCGAATTATGAATAACGAATTAGAACATGATCTGAAGGATGCTGACACAACATCGGATAAGATGGAGGATGATACTTTCCTGCGCTTCATTGAGGCTAATCTCCTCTCTGACATCACTTTACAGGGCATTCCTCAAATCACCAAGGTGTATATGCATCAGCCTAAGGTTAGTAATAAGCAGAGATTATATATCAAGCCCGATGGCAGCTTCGATGTTATTCATGAATGGCTACTGGAGACTGATGGTACTTGTCTTATGAAAGTGCTTGCCGAGCGAGGTGTTGATGCAGTTCGTACTGTTAGTAATGATATTGTGGAGATATTTGAAGCCCTGGGCATTGAAGCTGTAAGGAAGGCAATTGAGACGGAGATGCACGAAGTGATTTCCTTTGATGGTTCCTATGTCAACTATCGTCACTTGGCCCTTCTTTGTGATGTGATGACAGTGAAGGGTCATCTGATGGCTATTACTCGTCATGGAATCAATCGTCTTGACACCGGTGCTTTAGCTCGTTGCAGTTTCGAGGAGACTGTCGATATTCTCATGGAAGCAGCAAGTCATGCCGAATTTGATCCCCTTCAAGGTGTCTCTGAGAATGTCATGTTGGGTCAACTTGCGAAAATTGGAACTGGATCATTTGACTTGCTCCTGGACTCTAATAAATGTCAAGAAGCGCAGCCAATTCCTATTGGTGGATCAGCAGGTATTTTTACTGGAGTTGTTTATGATAGTTCTGCGGGTTCGTGGGCAAGTCCTCGTATTGGTCTGACTACTCCTGGTGGCTCTCTTGCTGGAATGACAGGAGATATCGGTGGTAGTACTCCATGGGACACAGCTGCTTCCCCTGCAGGATCAATTATTGATGCTTCTCCATATGGAAATCGTATTGGAGGTGTTACTCCCCATGAAGCCATGTTTTCACCCCAGACCTATAAGCATGATTTATCATTTTCTCCTGGTCGTAGCCCGCAACTAGATAGTCCAAGAACACCCGATGTTCTCTTCTCACCAGCTGCCTTCTCCGGTTTTGCTAGTCCCATGTCTTATATCGGCACGCCTCAGACAGACATCGGATCACCGGGATCGAGTCCTGGACATTCTGGTTCTGCGAGTGGTAGCTCATTCGGTTATGCTAGTCGCTTGAGTATGAGTGGGGATGCTAGCTACTCTCCAATGTCGAAACCAACTTACGGTGGGACAGGGAGTTCATCTGGAATGAGTGTTGGAGCAGACAGTAGTTCACCAAGCTATTCTGGACAGCAATTCTATTCTCCTCCTACTGTGGGCTATCAACCTCGTTCACCTCAAAGGAATATGACCTCTGGTTATGGTTTTGGCTCATCAGTTTCTCCTTCCGGCTCTTCACCGAATAGTTTGGATTCTTACAGTCCTGGTAGCCCTGCAATGCCTACTGCAGGCTTTAGTTCATCTGGTCGAGGTGCAGCAAGTTGGATTACAGCCGGATCTGAATCACCTAGTCTCCTTTCCCCTAGTCTTGATTCTGGCTCATCAATGGGCAACAGCTTGTCTAACTACAATTCCAGTCATCCTAGTCCCCCACATATGTACTACGGTTCTCCATCTGCTCCACGATACAGTCCTCAACCTTCATTTGGAGGAGGTTCTTCTATGCTTTCCTACTCCCCCCATCTGGGAGCACCTAGTTCACCAGTCGGTGCTGGGTCCGTGGGTTTGAGTGGACCTAGTCATTCCCCCTTGTCTTATCCTACTACTCCAAACTATCCTCTATCTTCAACTGGTGGTGTTTCAGGTCCTGGTGCGAGTCCAAGTGGTTTGAGTGGCTTGGGAATGTCTGGAACAAGCTATGGGACTTCCTATTGTCCCTCAGCGTCATTCAGTCCATCAAGCTCCTTCCAGAGTTCATCTTCAAATTATATGACTTCGAGAAGACCTACTTCACCATCGCCAAGTTCGCCTGTTGGTTATTCTCCGACATCTTCTGGAAATTAAGAAAATTTTTACATTTATTCACATACTTTTTGTTATTCAATATCAAATGTAGACATATTACCTGTAATTGTTCGTTTTTTATTGGTTTGTGATTGCATTTTAGGGTCAACTGGGGGTGGGGAGAATGGTATTATGGTATGAGCTTTGACTAACAATAGTTAGAGCTTTTAGTTGGGAGTATGCTACTTGGTGAGGGAATTTTTCGAACTTATCAAGAAGTTGTTCATTGTCCTGTCTGTAACTCCGCGTAGTCAGTTAGACAGGGTTGTTCCTTGAGATATTGCTGTTGCTTTAGTTGCCATAATGTGGTTATTATTGTACTCGAGACAGTTATTTTTAAATAGCTACGAATAAGTTGGGAGTTATTGGCTTCTGATTAGCCTCAAATTTTAGCAATGAAAAAATAGAGACTAAAAGGAAGGTAAGTGATGATCTTAGAGATGAACTTTGGTATGAAATAATGGTGTCTTTAGGAGCAGAAATTAGTTTAGGTTTTCCAGTTAAGAGCAAGAGAATGATCTAGCTTGGAGGATGACTTGTTGGAAATAACATCTGTTCTGCTGGCAGACTGTTAGTGAACTAAGGGAAACACTTATTTGAGTGCAGCCACCTAAAACACTGCGAATGAGGAATTGGAAGTAGGATGAGCTAGCAATCCCTTCCTTAGTTTGGGATAGAGGTTACGACAGTTGTGCTCTTCTTCGCACATACACACACTCCTTCGCTTTCCTTGTTTCAGTTTTCCATCTTGCTGCCTTTATAGGCTTCATCGCCATTCTTTCTACCTTAATTTATCCACAAAATGCCCTCCAATGAAACATTATTTAGACATAGCAACTTGCATAGGATTTACTTGTAATGTTAAATAATCCAATCGTTCTTACCGCCCGATTAGATCGCATGTCTAGTCCATTTTTGTTTAACTATAAAATTTGAGAAAGCTTTAAATTTCCAAATATAGTTCATTACTATATGAATGTCGGGCTGGTTTATTATACGGCGTAATTTTACAGCAGGCACGTGATTAAAAAAACGCACTTGAATTATTGTTATAGATTCCCGAGAGGGAGAGAGGGAGAGAGAGAGAGATGCTTTATTTATTCATTTATGTTTCGCTCTACTAAGTATGCGCATCCTCATCATTCGTAAACCATTCCAATCCACATCAATCCTTCCTTTCCATTGTGCGACGAATTTCTTTCATTGTGAAGACTATACTAATGAGCCTTAACTTATGTTCAGTAATCTCTATAACAAAACAGTTTTTAATGGTTTTGAGGATTAGATAAGCTACTGCAAATCTACAGAGGAAACAAACGTATGACGTGCGCGTTTACTCGGGCTGCATTTTATACAGGCAGGTAGCTTATCCAACACAATACAATGAGGGTTTTGTTAGACAATTCAGGGACTATTGATTAGTGGCTGGCTGAGATGTCACTGTGGTCACGACCGCACCCTCGAGTTTGTCAGAATTCACATGAGATTTCTTTGTTCGGTCATGACAGCGTTGCTTCCACAAGTTACGCTAATCAAGGTAGTGCTCTCGCGGAATTCTCATTGTTAGCACTTTCCATGTGCAACGTATCGATTTTTGGCTTAGGAATATAATTTCAATCCCACAGTTTTTTTTATCAATTAGCCTCATTAGTCTTCACTCTTATACTCAAGTCACCCTCTAAGTTATGGGTCCTCCTAACCAAAGCGCAAATCTGACTCATTCCTGTTCTGTTTGTAAAATTTTGGGGAATTTTCGACAACCAACATTTATAGTACCGAGAGCAGAACAATTTCATAACTTTCGCACAAATCTTATTCAAAGTTTCATTCCAGAGGTTCCATCTTTATACATGTGATGGAGTAATGATATAGCTGAGTCCTGTGTGTGGCAGCTATCCATGTTTTTCTAAGTTCACGCTCTTACTCAAAACGTGCATGTCAAGATCTACTACTTAAGCAATTGATAGCAACTTTGGCCTACTGCTTGCAATACTGCCTCCTCCCAATAAAAATACGCAACTACTGTTGCCGCATGCACCCTACAAGAGTGGAGCCAATTTGAATTCAAATAAAGGGAAAGACAAAACCAATTGCGTAAATACAAAATATCACATTTTAATTAAAAATAAATGCTAAATAATAGTAAAAATCAAGATCAGGTTGTCTTAGGGGTCTTTTTGGCGTGAGGGGGTTTTGGTGCGATATCGGCGAGGAAGATGTCTATCGAAGGCCTCTTGCCAGTCCTTAGTACGCATTACATCTAGCAGTATTTCAACCAGAGTGTTTATACACAGCGCTGAAGCCTTCACTCGATTCTGAGGGTTCCAATCGGCAGGCGCGAATTCGTCTATTGGAAGTCGCATAGCCGAGACATTCAACCTTGTTGCTTCATCCAAACTTCGACCCTAAGGAAAGAGTTCATAGAAGTAAATAACCGTTAGAAAATAATTTCTAGTAATAAAGCGAAAAGAATCGAATAGCTACACAGCAGATATTCATATAACAGTATAGCCATGTAACATCCAAGCTCATTTAGGACAGCCTATATTAGCGCTCCTATGAGGTAAAATATGACATAACCAAAGTTAACAGCCAGACCTGGGCTATGAAGCTGGTAATTCTGCTAGCTAGGTATGGCACGAGACAAGCAACCTGAATTAACAACGAAATACAATAACAGTCACCTCATCGGCAAAGTAGTAAACAATAAAATGGACTAACAAAAGCAAAACTATTACAGTAGTATAACGTAGTTCTTTATGCTTAAAACATGATTGATAACAAAAGAAAAAAAATGAACACACCTTTTCGATATTTTCATCAATCAGGCCACCAACGACATACACAGCATCTCTATTAATTTCAACCAACGGATCTGGAGCATCAGGAGAAAGATAAATTATTTCCTGATCTTTAAATACTTCAGTTGGGGATTCGGCATGGAAACCAATCTGATAATTGTCGAAACCACAGCACTTGCGTCTACAACATTCAGCTAATGGGCCAGAAGAATTAAAATTGACCAAATTTATGCTGAGTGGTACTACAGCCTTCTTATTTGCACCGTATGCCCGGCAAAATTGTTGCGCAAGCTTGGATATCTCCTAGAATTAAGAAAGTGAACATGTTAAAAAACGTAATTCAAATTAAATAAATTGAAAGATAAAAGAAAATCTGACATGAAAACAAAAGAGAAAACTTACTTTCTGTGACAAATCCTTCTCGAAAGAACAATCAATGCAGAATTTTACTCCATTCGCGAAATTTTGCTTAAGTTTTTCCTTGTCCAACTTAATTTGATCTCTCTTTGAAATATGCTCGCCACCAGATTCTACATGAAGTCTGATCGATTCAGCTAGCCGTTTACGACGTCGAAGCTTTTCAACTTTCCTTTTAGGCTGAATGGTTGAGGGATGATGATCACCGGGCATTGTCCTTTTAAAATTGAAATTTGTAAATACACAATAACTATTTTTAAAGAAACCAACACATTTATCTAACTATTGAAGCAACATAGTAGAAAATGATATTTAGAGTAGGAATAAGCGTACAGATCAAAAAAGTAGACCGATCTCCCATGCAGTAGTACAAAGCGTGAAGGCCAATTAGCAAACACAAACTTCGCTCCATTTTCTGAGTGATTTATATCATCGATGAACATTTATGCAAAATTCAAGTGTGCTACATTAAAAAAACATGAGATTTTTCCCACAAGTTTAATTAGCAATAACTTATATATTGTGACTGTGCGGAATATATTGCAATAGTTTTTAATTGAGTAATTGACTTATGTAACTAATGAACAATATCATTTTTTAATACTCAATTCAGCATTCCATTTAGTTACTAGGTAATGTTCATTTTAGGGTGCAGATTAGTTCTCATAAATGTCTAAACTCCAATAGTGGCAAGAGTACTAGTGTATGAAGGTGGTAACTGAATATCGTAAGTGAATTTATTAGTAAATCAAAATGAGATATTTTCTAATGCGAAATTAGACAGAGAAATAAATCCATGATGTAATCTAGTTTATTTCAGTCGAGAATACATTTACCATATATTTACTTCGAAGTATGATTTTCATGATATCGGGGTATTTAAAAGCAAAGTTTTAGAAACACTACTTCTGTAATAACAGCATTTTGTTGAGGACAAATATAACTGTTCATGTTTTTGAGAGGTAGTTGTCCCCTTGATCCACCATGTTGTTGAATAATTTCGCTTTAGATTTTGCATTCACTATACAGTTGTCATGCCTATCTCATTTCATGTATCATCATGCATCAAAGTCATTCATACTTGTGGGACACGTCATCGCATGCGTGTACACATAGGCTTGAGGTGCGGCCGAACAACTTCGCGTACTGATTGAGGACAAGAGCACGCAGCCAATAGGAGCTCAATGACCCTCACTTGTTTTACCAAATCCGCCATGTTGTATGACTGAGTTTCCTTCCTCTACACACTTCTTGCGTGGTTTATCTACTGAATAAACGTGCTCCGTGCTAAACGTCTGTTTCCTTCATAGCTGGGCTATAGCTTAGCTGGTTCTGGGAGTCTAGCTAGATGTTGGAGAATTTGCCATAGAGATTTCTGAATCAGTCAGGCTTTACTAAGGTAGCAATCCGCTACATACTTAACGACGGGGAAAA